CATGTTCTCAAGAGAACATGGCGTCGCCTCAAGAGGCCTCACTGCCCGCGTCCAACAGGAAGGGCTCACTGTCTTTTCCACTTCCTGCCTTCCTGGCGCAGCCGCATTCCCTCCAACCTCCACAGGCGGATCCGAGATCGCTGCAGAGGCGTAAAGAAGACCTGGGCAAGCTGTGAAGTGCCCTCGTCGATGTATTGCGTGGCCGTTTTGCTACATGACCAGCGCCCACGTGCCACTGTGGCATCCATGCTGAGGGAGGACTGGAAGAACCACGTGGCGCCCCCTCTGCGGAGGCTGTAGGGTGAGTAGTCATCCGGAGCAAAGCCCAGCTTTGTCAGCATCTTGGCAAACTGCACGCGAAACTGACGGGGCCCAGCAGGCCAGAGCAAATCCTTGCGACGAGGTTCCCGAATGCTTCGAGCAAAGCTGACCAGCTGCCGATCCTGTACCAGGACCACCTGAGGGTTTCCTTGTGAGGTCTTGCTCCCAGGGAAGATCACACTCATGCCATGGCCCCGGTCGTGAATCACCAGGTGTCGGTGCGTAAGCCCCAGCAGCTCGCCGGTGCGAAGGAGAGCGTTGAAGCCCACGGCTAACAGGGCAGCTCCAGCCTTAATTCTGGGTGAAATCTTTTGATGGCGGAAAGAAGGTGCCCTGAGTAACTCGTGGGTTCACCCTCCTGATAGGAGAGGTCAATGAATTCGGCCAACTGGCGATCCAGGCGATGTGGCTTTGCTATATCAAGCCTCCTGCGCTTGACATGGTTCAAAAATCTATCCAGGGCTGTTCTGTAGGCTCGTAGGGTGCGTGGGCGCAGGCCTGCAAACTTCAGGCCTCGTTTACTTCCCTTCATGTGCTCGGCTTGGCTTGTCCGCAAAGTTCCATGCGCTGATGGTCCAAAGCGGAAAGATGTAGTCGTCCATCGCAAGAAGGTAGGCACTGCACCTTCGTGCCACCCTATTGAGCCTCCTGGAACTGCTGCGACCCTTTGCAAGGACGCCCCTGGTAACCATCGAATCCAGCACGTGGAAGAACCTCTGGTGTTGCTTCGTGCTAGTCCGCGCTCTGTGCTTGAGGAATACAGCCACTGCCAAGAGCTCAAGTTCATTGATATGAGCTTCTTGCCGCCATGCATAGGCCATGGAGGTGCGCCACTTCCACCTCATGGCCAGGTAGGGTAATTCATGCACCTGCCCGTCGGGCAGCTCGAGGGACAGTCGGACATCTGAACCTCGGTAAGTTGCTTGCCGGAGGAGGTAGCGCAGGTGCTCCTTCTCCTGCCCCTTCATCACTGACTGCTCCATTGATGCCAGCAGCCCAGCCACTGGCCCTGCCACTTCAGGATGCGCCAACCTGTCTGTGGACATGGCCAACTCCTCCAAGTAGTGCGCTTGCCGAGCCTCCAAGACAGCTGCATCGAAGTGTCCATCTGCCTCCAGCTGCTCCTTGACAGCTTTACACATCTCCCACGGGTATTCAGCCTCCTCCTCCGTGGGGTACCGCAGCGTGCCGTCTGGCATTTCTTCTACTTCATAGCTCCTCAAACCTTCATGGCCCGGGCAGTCTCGGGAAAGGTGCCACCTCAGCGTGGGGAGATCGCTGAGCACTGCGAACCACTTTTCGCGCTCTCCGCCGAAGCAGCAATGGGACCCCACTGAGTAATTCATTTCTGGCCATTCTTCCATGTCTTTGACGAGCTTAAACTCCCACATCCATGAGCGTCGTGGGTGCTCCACTGACCAGTAGCACTTCTTTCCTCTCCGGTCCTCCTTGCCTCTTTTGAGAGCCCTGAGCACCATTTGGTTAGACTGTCGGACTCTAGCTTTCATTTCGCTCGACAACCACGGATAGCCCATGACGTGGTTAGCGTCCCGGACCGGCTGCGGGCCAGCAATCGTGCGACCGTTGCGAAGCTTGATCGGCCGTCCTCGGGCTCTGCTGAAGAGCTTGCATTCGGGTGCCCAGTGTTCGACAGCCAGACATGGGTCGTTCATCAGGTCCCTCAGCGTTTCCTTTCCTTCATCAGTGAAGATGTCATCACCGAAGTACCAGTCAAAAGGGGGTTGGACCTCCACTGGTGCACGGTGCATCCCAGAACTCGACGGCCGTGGCAGCTCCACCCCCAGATGGCGAGGCATCCGTGATTGAAACCTCTTGGTCGATGCGGGCCCTGAGATTCGTATACATGAGCGGAGTCAGCGCCATAACCATGGCAACCTCATCCCAACTCTCAGGCCGAGGCGCAGCTCTGTCCTGGTTTGCAGCTCTGTCCTGTATCTCCGTGAAAAGCGATTCGAACGCTGCAAAGAGGGGTCTTCTGAAACAGCAGCCGAATGTAGCCTTCCCCACAAAGTGACGAATCTCTGCTTCAGTCCACTTCTCCTTGGCCAACAAGGTGGAACCAAGGGTAAGGATGTTCAGCATCTTATCCAGTGCCAGCCCGTAACGGCCCAAATCTCCGTCCAGTTCGCCTCCTTGGAGGGCTCCATGCACAGTAGCCACAAGCCTTTTACCCTCGTTCAGTGGCAGTTTCAATTCCCTGCAGGCGGCCAAGAACCTTTCGTGTCTGTCCGACGGCACACCCTCCAGCACCTCTGCACCGTTCTTGTTGAACTTTCGGAGTTGGTCGTATGAGTCCAAGTAGATCACTGTCAGATCTCCTCCCTCTGGCAGGGGTTTTGTCTTAGCCACTTCTGATGCCTCTGGGATCTCCGCCACCTTGAACACTAATGTCCTGACAATGCTCTGGATGATCGCCACACTGCTGATCCAGCCCATAGGAAGCACGGCCATGGCGGGGTAGACAATCTTTCCTGCCTCCCCACCCAGGAGGGAGGCGTCAACAGCCTTTCCAAACGCCATGTACTTGTGCCAGCACTGGGGCAGCCGGAAGAGGTTAAAGCAGCTGGTGAAGTCTTCCGAATCAATCAGCCACACCTCCTCCTCTTCTTGTTCCAGGAGGGTCAGCTGGCCCAGGTACGGCAGCAGCTTGTCATCACCATCAATCCGCTCTTGGTAAAAGTTGGCTGGGATCAGGTTGCTGATGAAGCGCTGCACCCTATGGACAACTCCATCCACCTTCTTTTCCTTCTTCACTGCTCCGGCACCATTAAGCACCGGGTGACCATCCTTATCCTTGAAGACCTCATCTTGCTCTACAGCCACCATGAGCCCTTTTTTGTAGGCAGCCCGAACCACTTTTGCCCACTCCTCATCCGAGGCTCTCACCTTCGAGTGTGGGGGCTTGACTGGCCAATCTTGGGCTGGCTTCAGACTCCGGATCACACAGCTTGCGTCGGAGGGGGTCCGGGAGAAACTCCACAGCTTCCCGCACCGCTGCTTGGCCCACTTTTGGCCAGGCAGCAATCACTCTCTCGGCTACGATGTCTTCCATGGGCATCACCGGCTCGCCCTGGTAGTCAAACCGAGCTGCCGCCAACTTTTGGGCTGCATCCTCAAAGGCCTCACACTTCAACCCCGAAGCCTCGACATAGCACAGGGCTCTGCACAGGTGCTCCACAGTAAGTTTCTGAGCCCTTGTGAGCTCCTTGGGAAACTCCAGGTTCGTCCAGCCTCCGTGGGCTTGGGCCCTTGCCAAGAAGTTCAAGGCGTTCACCATGCAGGTCACTCCTCGGGCAATCCTGGGGTGTTTCTCCTTGAGGTACCGCTCGACCGCGACAGGACTGATGGGAAGCAGGTCGTCGCCCCGCAGATTCTTTGAGGAAGAACCCTCGGGAGGCACCCCTTTGGCAACAGAACTTTGCGCTAGGCGACAACATGGCGTGTCTTTTGCAAGCATCATGTCCCACAGACCCGCTAGGACGTCGACCGGTGACCTCCTTTCTCCCAGGAATGCCTTCCAGTCCAAACTCTCAGAGCCCTTCGGCTCCGGTGAAGCTTCTTTCTTCTCCTCTGCTACTAGTCCTTCTTGTCCTTGTCTTTGCTTTCTCCTTTTCCTTTTCCCTTGTCCTTCCCTTTCTTTCCTCCTTTCTCCCGGTGACCTTTTCCGTCTTTGTCCCCTCTCGGAGGCTGCCACCCCTTCAGCTTGAGGTCGAGGAGATGCTCCCTGTTCATGAACGCTTCCTCGTCCCGCTCCAGGAGACGGCCCCCGTCGGGGCCCAGCAGCTCGAGGTACTGGGCTGCTGCCCAGTGACCGTCGTGGCAGCTCTTCTCTATTGCTTTCACTCTCTGGCCCACCAGATCTGCCGCATGGGCGGGCTGCTTCCTTGCTAGAAGGTCCAGGACTGTGCAAAGTGTCCTGAGCTCCCTGTGCGCCCGAAAGGTGAGCTTCTGCCCCAGCTGAGGTACGATCATGGTGTGGAAATAATGCACCGCGGCCGGGGGAGTCATCTCGCCGACTTCGGCGGGGCTCGCCCCCACAGCTCCTAGGGCCCCCTCGGTCTGCATCTTCAGCAACAGCCTTGATGCGAGACGGCCCGGCGTCTTCTTCGAATACTGAATCAGCTTGAGCTGATTCGATGCCTTTGGAGCTGTGGGGGCTTCGCGAAAAACTCCCTCTGACTCACTGCTGGACTCCCCCCGATACCTCACGATGTCTCCGCCTCCAAACGGACCACGGTCCTTCCGCGTGTTGGCCCCAGACGCAGGCCTTCCCTTGACTGGGTCGGCCCCGAAGAGCCCTTCTCCCGACTCCAAGTCTTCTTCACTGGAGGTATCAGACATGGTCTTCCTCTTGTCCTTGGCCTCCTTGGCTTCCTTCTTCTTGCTGGAGCCAGTGGTCTTCCTCTTCTTCTTTACACCTCCTGAGGAGGGTGAAGGCTTCCGCCTCTTCTCCTTGGACTTCTTGCCGCCCGTCTTTTCCTCCGAGGCGTGGGCCTCCTTTTCTTCCTTGTCATGAGCCTTCTTTGGCTTCTTTTTCTTTAGCTTCTTCTTGGCGGCCTTCTTGAGGCTCTTCATTGCCAGAAGCTCCTTTTCCAACTTTCCAACTTCATGCTTGGCTTTGAGGAGCTTGGCCCGCAGCCCTTTATCTCCTGAGCTGTCCTCACCAGACTCGCTCCCTTCCTCTTCACTGTCCTCGCGGGCGCTTCTTCTTTCTCGGGCTCCATCTTGCGCCCTTTCAGGTACTTCAGAAAGGACCCTCCCGCTTCTTTCTCGAAGGCCCATGACGGCACTTTTCTGTCAATCTCCTTCTGGGTGAGCGCTCTGAATCGCTCGAGGTGAATGGCGGCCCCTCGGCGACTCACTGGGCAATCGATGCTCGGGACCTCACAGCAGTGGTAGGCGCACTTCTTGGCGAGCCCTTTCCCGGCTCCCTCTGACATCCACCACCGCATATGCGGGTCACTAGCCGCCACGTAGCGCCCATGGATCCAATGCCCTTTGGCATCGGTGCTGAGGCTGTCCAACACCTCGAGGATCACCGTCCCTTGGGCCTTTCCGTCATCGTCGCGGATGGCTCCCTCGAGCAGCATCCCCTGACGGAACTTGAAGCCATGCCAAGCTTCGCGGTTCACTCCCCCTGCCACCCACATTGGGGTGACAGGGGGGTAAGGTTGCCCTTGAACCAAAAGCTGGAGCGTGTCGACATATGTTCGTTGCTCCTCAAACATGGTTTTCGTCGACAGCACTCATTGCAATATACTAAGATCAAAACGCCCAGCCACAACAAAGCGAATCTGTCTGCCTCAAAGGCTTGAGCGGCTTGAGACGATCTTTCAAATCAGTCAAAGCGATGTTTTTTGGCAAGCTGAATGCATGAAACTTCACGAATCCCTGATTCCCACAACCAATGGAACCATTTCTGGAAGCCCTGACTTTGCAGTCGCCGCAGTGCTTCGAGAACCCAAGCTGCCTGCCTAATTCCACAAACAATATTGAATCGCAGCAAAGTCCAAAAGGGTAACCAAACCGCTGTGAAGCTATGCTGAAGCACCTTTTTCCGTGTCACAATATGATGCCAATGGAGACACATTTGGCCTTCAATTCTTCACACACAGTGGGATCAGCTGCAAACCTTGGGCGCATCGCCTGCATTGGCTCAAACTGCCTCAGCCTATATACATTGTGACATAGTTTCTGCTCCTCTCATGGCCAGTATCAGGCACAATCCTCTTCATTCGTCCGCCGCCGTTTCTGACCCTCCAGTTTCACCTGGCATAGCGTTCGCTTGGACACGCCCAAGCGCGCTAGGCAGTCAGAAGGGAGCAGCGGCAGAGTTGCGATCTTCACCTCACAGCTTCCTGTGAAAGGAATCGCCATTGGTGACTCGTGTAATGCATCCCTCAACGACTTAATGTTTGAGGCACTGGACATTTTTGCTACTGCCAGCTCCGAAGACGAAGTGAAATTATTCAAATCCAGCTCCAACTTCACCGTCTTGCCTGCACCTCCCCTGCCAAGAGTATTTGAGCAAAACACCTCATACCTACTTGAAGCACGTTGAAGCAAAATGGAGCTTGGCTTGAGGTTGTTCAAGCGAGGCTGCTTCACAGGCAATGGAAACCCCAGGTCACGAAGTAGTTTGGCATGCACGCAGTCTTTCAATCCAACACTCCAGCCACGGACTTTGGAAAAAAACCAATGTGTATCGTCTGCCTTTAAATGGTAGGACCTTGTGAGGCAAATTTCCATCAAAGCCCACCCACTGACCTTTGACATCAGCCACTCGTCCTAAACCTCCATGGGTGCCATCATCTACCCAAAGCTGCCCTCCGGTGTAGGAGCCAAGGCCAATGATGCGGGAGTCACCTGCATCCTTTTTGTCCACGTGCAGCTCAGCAGCGTAGTCTTTGTTCACTTGAATTGATGTGAAGCAAAACCCAGGGAGTTCATGCGCTGCAAAGGCGCATAAAAGCCGGCAAAGGTTGGGCCGTACCCGGGTTTGTCGGGAGGGCATTGGACCTTTGACCCAGCACTCTGTCATCCCCAAACACATTCCAAGGACCTCACCAGATTCATCTCGGCGACTAACATTGCTCCTCCGACTTGCTGGAAAGTCAATCTGCTCCAGCGCTTCAAGCACAGTGTCCCGGCATCCACTGTCTTGGTATTGCTTCAGTGCAGAGATGTTCACATCCCGACATTCCATTGCGCCCGGCCAAAGCATGCTATATGAACTAGCACCCCGGCCAAAATGCTGCAGGGTTTAAAATGAAGCGCATCCAACAGCAATCTCCCTGTCATATTGCCAGGAGATGCCAGAAGTGAATGTCAAAATGTTCGCTTGGCTAAGGTAGTTGAAAGTAAGCTGGTGGCTCTTCAGCTGAGCTTCTTTCGCTGCTACCTGGGAGGCGGCGACCAAGTAAAAATAACAGAAAGCCAAGAAACAAAACATCGCTGGCATGCTTGAAATCTGAAAGCCTGCAGGGCCCCAACCAGGTGGAGCATAGTACTTGGGGTGTAGCACCCGCCTGAACCAGTTCAATCCACCCCATGGGAAAAAAACAAGATGGAGCCCACGAACCCGAATGCAAACACGTTCGAAAAGCTACATATGTCCAAATGACACTCTTGTAGGACACTCTTTTGGGACACTCTTGTGGGACACTCTTAAGGGACACTCTTGTGAGACACTCTTGTGGGACACTGTTGCGGGACACTCTTGTGGGACACTCTTCTAAGACACTCATACGGGACACTCTTGTAGGACACTCTTGTGGGACACTCTTGTGGGACACTCTTGTGGGACACTCTTGTAGGACACTCTTGTGGGATACTCTTGTAGGACACTCTTGTGGGACACTCTTGTAGGGCGTACGAGACTTCCTCCAAAAGTCCCTCCAAAAGTTACGCGTCAAGTCTCAAAAACGAGCATTTCGTTCGAGACTTCCTCCAAAAGTCACACGTCAAGTCTCAAAAACGAGCATTTCGTACGAGACTTCCTCCAAAAGTCACACGTCAAGTCTCCAAAACGAGCGTTTCGTACGAGACTTCCTCAAAAAGTCACACATCAAGTCTCCAAAACGAGCGTTTCGTACGAGACTTCCTCAAAAACTCACACGTCAAAGTCTGCAAAACGAGCGTTTCGCACGAGACTTCCTCCAGAAGTCAAGCGGAAACACCCATCGGAGCACACAGCGACATTCACATCACTCACAACCTCACGATTCCCTGCACCTGCCACGAATCTTTCCGCGCCCACACATCTAACGCGCACAAAGTACTGCGCCTGCCACGAAATGTCACCTCCGTCACACCTCGCAACCTCACGATTCCCTGCGCCTGCCACGAGAATCGCACTTCCACGCCTCAAAACCCGCACAAAGTCCTGCGCCTGCCACGAAAAGTGACAATATCATCTCATGTGAGCGTCAACAAAATTTGCACCGCACCACACGTTTGGAATGATTTCGACCCGTTCTGAGCACACTCCCATCCACCAAAATCGCCATTTCAGCTGAGACTTGTCACGAAAGCCGAGCTTCGATGCAACACCCTGAGACGCAAACCCCAATGGCACGGCCACATCCAACACCCCAAAAACACGACTCTCCAAACGCTAATCCCAATGGAACTGCGCAGCAAACTGCGGATCTCACATAACGCTGCGCCTGTGCAGCGAAATGCATCACGTTTCTTGCGCGACATGTCATTGTCATGCAAATAACAATGCAATAGCGGCGCAAACTGACACGTGACACGTCCATGAAAGGTCACTTGCAAAAGCTTCCCCCAATGGCAGCGAATTTGAGACGCGACGACGACGACAAACGACGAGAGACGACGAGAGACGACGACAGACGACGACAGACGACGAGAGACGACGACACGACGCAAGCCATGCATGCAAACACAGCTCCAACCCCCAGACCCCCAACTATAAACGGGAACCCTTCGCTACGCATTCGGGGAAAAAACTGCATGACATCACGAGATCTCACATTACAAGACAAGCGCACCCAGCTGGGCGGTGCAGCCCCACACCTAAACGGATGCGTAAGTTTATGCGTATTTTGCGGACCGAGCACACCAGGATCTAGCAACTCTCATTGCTAAGACCTTCCCACAGCATTTGCACTATGTTGTCACGCTGAAAGAGGCTGTGAGTGTATAATGTGGTTGTGGCTGCACCGAAACCGCGATGTTTGGGAACACAATGTGTTTCATTCTCTCTCTCTCTCTCTCTCTCTCTCTCTCTCTCTGCCCGGCATGACTCATCCCGCAAAGACGCCCAACTGCGACTGTCGTAGACAAAAAGGACTGTGCAGGCATCCGCAAAATGTGTAAGAAGCCAGGCCCTAGGCGGAATGCTGCCAGATGTAGCTCTCACTTGACTAGGGGGCGAAAGCAACCCAACGAGGCACCATACTCTCCCAAGTCTGTCGGTCTTGTGCCAGATGTTTCCTGTGGCAGGTGTAGAGCAGGCGGACATATGTGTCTAAGACCGTGCCGAGGCCGGTATGAGGGAAGTGTCCAGGATGTTGGACTCGGTGCCTGTCGGAATGCCACCATTCTAAGTCAATGATCTGCAGGACATTGGTGGCTGGGCAATGTCGCTTGAGATAGGTGATGCCCCAGAGGTCAAATCCATGTTCCCAGAGGATGTGCTTGGCAAGGTGCCGGGTAAGAATGTCAATGTCTAACCAAGGCTCGCCGTAATGTCTCCCAAGCTTACGCACACGCCTGGTCATAGTGACATGGAAAGCGTTGGGTTTGTCGACGAGGTGTTGGAGTAGTGCCAGGCCGGGGCGGCCCACAAGAGGCAGTTCCCCACCAAGGCACTGAGAGCTTGGGTTTCCAAGGCCCGGTTGTGCGAAGAACCTCTCGTAGGGCACCATACTTTTGAGAGGCTGTGGTCATGGGTGCATCCGGAGAACACCTTTTGTTTCAAATCAACTACTTTCGGTGGCGACCTATCGAACCGGTCTTCTTTCGGGTTCTCTCTCTCTCTCTTTCTTTTCTCATCAAGCGATTGCTTTAGAATGTTTTCGCAGCTTGGAGCGCTTCATATACCCTGAAGGCTGAACCGTAGTCTCAAAATTGTCAACGACAGTTGGTTCGTGGAGCACGAACCACTTCGAATAATTACCAAAGGTATTGCATTCAGCCACCCCAAAGGTCGCTCTCCCCCACCGGGACCAGGAAAGTTGCGCCGTGCGCGCATGGACATAGTCTTCCCAGGCCAGCTCACAAAATATTGAAATTTTAACTATAGCTCTACCTGGCGCAAACATGTGCACAATTACTCCAACCTTTGCATTCTATCTATGTTTGTCTGTCCGTCTTCATCAGGTCTTGAGTGATTTGACTAGAACATGCAAGAGAAATGGGCGCTTTTCGTGTAATTATATTTATACACTCTCAGTCTCCTACTATCAGCTCCAAGCCCCATCGAGCTACAAGGAGCTCTATAAGCGCTCCGCAAAGGTCCACAAACGCTGCCTGTAGGTGTCGTACCCGACGATGAAGTCACAGTTTGGAAACCTTGGAGAGAGGCAGGCGCTGTCATTTCCCCTTCCGAGTTTCCAAGCCCGCCTCGCCGCCACCTCGTGACTAATTTATGGTACACACATCTTGCTAAGCTGGAAGATGGACCCTGAACTGGCAAATTAAATTCTTTGTACTCTCGCCCAACAAGAGCAAGCTTCAGCTTCAGGACTTGTCTTGGCTGGCTCCAAGCCGGCAAGTTGAACTAAAGGCACCTTAGTGCCTCTTACTTTTTGCGCTCACTTTCTACGCATCCTTGTGCTCCTGATGAATGCTTGCACGAAAGGGAGGCCACTGGTGGGTCTTAGTCACCTCAAAATGACCATCCAGAGCAAGCAAAGTCAAGTGTGCCTACACACATGTCACATGAGCTCAAGGTTTTTTGCAAAATAAGCCGACAAGCTATGTTGAGCTCCGCATTTCTCACCTCCTAGTTGGCGCAAAACTTTGCACGGGGCCTGCGCAGACCACCGGCGATCACATGTCCTACATATTAACATATCGCCTTCTATGCACGCAGCATGCTGTTCTGGTCGTTCATGCGATAGCCGACTCATTTCTGCAACGACTTGCTCAGCTAATTTCCGGCGAGCTGGCCTATGTGGTATGCGAGAAAGCCTGTCGTCGTCTGCAGTGGCATTTTCACCGCTGGACACGGTGTAAGGACAATCGGGGTCACCTCCTTCCATGATTGACGGAATTTCACACACTTGTTGCAATTTGCACATTTCACTGTTCATTTTTGGGCGTGCCATCTATGTCCAGTCCACAAGCATTCAGGATCATTAGGTAAGGCTTTCAAGAAATCCGCCAAAGTGCGCCCCCCAGGCCTTTTCCCAGAGTGCCTCTTACTTTCTGTCCATTCCCCGTCGCGCTCTTTCCAGGCTGGTTTTGGGATCAAGTGTCGGGAGTTGCGCGGAGTTATGCGGGCCATCGTCTTGCGATTCTAAGCCATTTGGTCACTTAGAATGAGCTCCAACTCTAAGACCCTCCTCCAGAACCTGCCCCGAACCTTCCTCCGAGCCTCTGCATGTGGCTAAACACCCAAAGCTTTCGGAGGGGCCATCACTGGCACTGCCTATCGAGCCTGCTCCAAATGAGCAGGCAAACAATACCCCCAGCATTTTGCACAGCACAAATGGTTCACATTGGTTCTGTCATCTCCTATCTCATCCTTGCATGCAATGAACCTAAATTGGAAAAAAAGTCTCAGGTGCGGGCAAATCTGCTTTGTCTTGAAAAAGCATGGCCCTGCTCGCCAGAACACGGTTTCCGCGCGCAACTGCCTGAAGCACACTGTCAGACTGTGACATAGACAAAGCAATGGCTTCAAGATAGAACAAGCGCCTGCTCAATCCGGGTGCATAATGTGGCAACATCGATGGCACCTTTATCAGCATTTATCACCTGGTGGCTGCGAGGGGAGATCTGGAACATGCTGGAACTGCACTGAAGGCCGATCGTAAAAGAAAACAACAATCACTGCCCTTGCAGCATGTCCAGAGCTAGTTTGAGACTGTTTTTGCTTCTTAATTTGAGCTAGCAATGTGACAGCTAGGCAAGCTGCAACAAGTGCCAAGATCATGACGCAAAGCTCAAAAAGGACATTGCTGCATGGCCTCCGCCAATCACAGTGGCAAGTCTTCACTACACATTCATCAGACTTCCCGGTGTTGCAATACAACCTTGGCAAAGAGCGTATCATACCGGATTCCTGTAGGACAAAGTTCTCGGGCACGTGTTTCAATCTGACGAAGCGGAGGTTGATTCCTCAATCAACCTGCCCCATTCTACATAATCATTTCACTGACGCCCAAACAGGGTCAGGATAGAAAAACAAACTCATGTAAGCCATGCCAAACTTTCCGAATCGGAGGCTCGGTTGTTTTTCTAAAAGACTGTATGTACAATATATACTATTGTTGGCAGCACGATACCGACGCCCCGCGCCGGTCCATTTTCTCCTGGGCATAAATGTCCCTGCGCACGGTCACGATTCAACACTCCTATGTCTTCTTCTTGAAGACCCTCGGCAAATGGGATCCTGGGATCGTCATCTCGGAAGTCTTTCCCATATTGCACGCACGGAGGTAGGATACAAAATCCTTCAGCCCTGCCGAGCCGTTGGCATAGTGAGAGGTGCAGTATGCGCGGTAGCTGACCATCTCAGCCTGGGAGCTATTCGCCACTTCTTCGTAGCACTTGGAATCTTTAAATTTCCCGAATGCGAAGAGCGTAGCTCCCCACTGCTCAATGGACTTGATCCCTTCAGGGAACAAACTCTGCACCGGATATCCCAATCCGGCGGATGCGGCGGCCGATGGCAGCGGAGGAGGCAACATTGGCTCCACAGGTGACCAGTAGGTCATGTCATTGGCTTTCTCCACACGATCTTCACGAAGGCGCTTTGAGCCATCTGCCATGGTTCCAGCATTCGAACCGCTCCAAGCCATGTCGGCCTTCATGTCTTCGATATCGGTGATCCTCTGCGTCAACAGAGGCCAGAGCTACGAGCCTTGAGCATCAACCGAACACATTCGTCCATTTCGCCAGTGGTCATGACGGGCTTTGAGTTAGCCATCTTTGCACACGCTGAAAGCACGGATGAGTGTTCACACTCAAAAACGGAAAAACGCTTCACGATCTCACTTCAAGCCAAATTCATATCGGCAAAAACGGCTTTTGCTGAAAGACACGAATGCACAAACAAAAACATAATAGACACAACTCCTCAGCTGTGTTCAACTGACTTCTCCGGAAGTCATGGTGCAGGGACTCTTCAAGCGAACAGGTTTCTATTCTTTTTGATTGATCCACTTCCAATGAAACATGCAACGCGCAATGCCTAGCATTGATTTAAGTGCTCACACTTAACTCCCATGCATGTCTATCCTACGGAAGTCGATGCTCATTATCTCAACTTAGTGAAACACATTACCACCCGTCACTCTGGGACGGGATCAGACTGCTGATCATGCCTTGCTGCAACCTGTTTTCTCCGGTCCTTCTCAGCAGCACGGCGTTCGAGCACTAGACCTTCGGGGCTGATCTGATACGAGGTCGCTCTGGTGCAAGACCTTAGCAAATCAAAAGCTTCTGGACTCTCCTTAGTCAGGGCGTCAGCGAGCATGCGATCTGTTGGAATCCACCTCACCTGAGCCTTAAGTCGAGTGATGCTTTCACGGAGGATTATGATATCTATTGAAGTCCTTCTATCATCGAGTGTCGGAGATGACTGGGATAGTAGGTGGTCATATAAGGACTTACAGTCGGTCACTAGCAAAATCAACCTGTTCCCTAACCCTGACCAAAGGGTCTGAGAAACTCTGGGGCCGTCCAAGGCCTCGGAAAGCAAAAGTGATGTCCACTCGAGCATACTGGAAGCCACAGACATGCTCTGTGCTTCGGCGCTCATGGTTGAGCTCACCACTCTCGGCAATCGAAAGCTTTTCCAAAAACATGGACTCCATTTGCTATCATGACCCTCATTTACCCCCTTATCCACAAAGCTAATGATGTATCCGGCTTGCGTGGCACCAGCTTTAGCATTTCCAAAAGCTGCGTCAGAATGACACATGAGGCTGAGTGATTCGATGGGGATTGCACTGAACGTGATGACTTGATCAGCATGTTGCTTAGCCCTACGTACTGCATGGTTGGCTGCTATTGCATCTCCTATCGTGGGTCTAGGAAAGGACTGCTGTGCAAACGATACCTGGGTTGCAACATCAGGTCGAGATTGGTTTGCCAACCAGTTGAGGCTGCCATTGATGGCACGGAGACAGCTGATTTCTTTTTCTGTCAGTTCAGCATTTCGATTCCGTGCTCGTTCCCGGCTCAAGTGCAACGGCCGAACCTTCTGCGCGAATTTTTCCTGAGACATGGTGATAGTCATGGTTTCGGGACACTGTTTGTATTGGGATCCACAGAAGTCACCTTCTCCAATGCGCCATTTTCGGAATTCGAACGTCCTACGAAGTTCATTGATAGCTGCATTGTATGCTTCCCCTTCTCCCCCTGTGACACAGTCGTCAACATGAACACCATATATACCACGAAGCTTATTCCCTTCACGGAAATAGAAGAGACAAGAATCGAATTGGGATTTCTCGAAACCGACCCGGGTCAACTCTGCGCTCAGCTTACGAAACCATGCGGACGGCGAATCGTTCAGTCCGTACACATGACCCAACACTTCAATCAGTGCGTCGTCCGGTACCCCAGGGATACCCCCTTTTGGAAGGCTGGCGTAAAGCGGCCTATATCGTTGTGGGAGTTCACCTGAAGAGAGGAATGCTCCTTTTATGTCGCCTAGAGCGAGTTGCCACCGATGGGAAGCGAGCAGCTGAAACACTAAGTTCCGGCTTGCCTGAGCCAGGGTTGGACTTTGCAAATCACCTTTTTCTGACAAATCCGGGTCAAGGTGACCCTGAAGACACCATCTTGCCTTTGTCCTTGGAGCCGAATCCTCTTCTTGCTTGATGGTGATAACAAAACGGCTACCCATGATACGGTCCGGATGTGTCCTACGAATTTCATCAGCTTCTGGTCCAAAAGCCACCCTACCAGCATGTTTAGCTGTAATAGTCATAGTTCCCCACTCAAGAACCTTAGCTTCATCCACCTTTCGTTGTAACTCGGGGGGATTACCAACCGGGGCCAATTCCTTAGCAGCTTTCTTTTTCATGTACGCAGCGGCTAGAACCTGAAAGGTTTCACCTGCACAAAATCGGTCCACTAGGTCGGAAAGCTCTTCCTGCGATAGGCGGTCGTCCGGATATTCGGCTGATTGGACTGACAGCACGGTGATTTCATCACAAGCAAATGTCACCCCATGATTTGTTGTGTCATGCTCAAGCAATAAAGACTCGTCATCCACATTTGGTCGCTTCTCTGGTGGATCGGACTGTTCTGGACTCGGTGACGAAGGTCTCTTGACCCCACGGTTCTCCATGGGTGCATCGACGTCGGCTGACTCTGGCTGCATGACCCGCTTTATCAGTTCCGGGACGATCTCTTGCATCATATCTTGGAAGTCTTCTTGGACCATACGGTCAGGTCGATAGAGTGCCATGGGACCGTCCTTTTGGGTGACCCTACGACGAACAGGGCCATACTGTGGTTGATCCGGCTGGGCCGGTACAGGCTTACTGGAGTTCTCTGGACTAGGGGCTGGCTTGTTCTCAGCTGACAGTTGTGGCTCTAGAAACTCCGAGGCCTTGTCTTTCATGTGGGATGGAAGACCTAGTCCTACTTCTGGTTTCCAGGGATCTTGAGAGCTCCTGGCGTCCCCTGATTTTTCCTGGACATGACCATGGCTTAGTGGTCTAGGACCTTCACCCACTACGACTCCTGGCTGTTCAGGATCGGATATGCCTTGCGTTGGCTGATCCGCCAAGGATTCAGGCTGACCTGACACCTCCTGGGGGTATGATTCTGGCACGAGATCGATGAACTGACGACTGTTGATTTGACCTGATTCAATCAAGTGCTTGATACCTAACAGTTCCATTTGGGGGGTTTCTACCAATTTCAACTCATCTTCTGTCGAATCGAAGCACGGACTTGTTCGGGGGCACAACGGAAGATCCGTCTCTTGTGAATGATCACCAGGTTCCTACCCACATGACCTAGGACCTGGGCCAGACCAGCGGCCCGTCTTCTCCAATTGGCCATGGATCCATTTCTGGGATCACCAGTAGGCAACATATGCACCCGGCTCGGGATACCCTCGGGCGAGCTGCCAGAGCGAGTCGAAGAGATTTCGAGTCCTGCAACTCAAGCACAGCTTTCCGCGCTGACTGGCGAACGGCTACCTGTCGAGCTACAGCCTCTTCGTACAAGGACGCAGTTGCAGGAATCACATTGAGGGGTTCATCCATCAAATTCTCGGGGATTCGAGGATTCTTTCCAAACACGAATTGAGAGGGTGTCATGCCATACACTTGAATCAGCTGGTTTTTACAATGAGCTGCATGGACACATTCCAACCATTCTGCTTGAGTTTTGGGAACCTGTTCTGACAACACCTTTTCTAGGACCCGGTTGAACCAGCCTCCATGGACCTCACATTTCCCCAACTGCCAATGGGCGTCTGCCGCAGTGAGCTTAAATGTGGCGCCACCCAACTCAAGCAGGGTAGTGAAGGCGTCCGACATGTTTGCACGAGCGGGATCTAGAATGATCTCTAGCGGCATACCAGCCCACGAGACCCAACGTTCCATGAACACATGACGGAGGGTTTCTGCAGTCTCTTTCTGGAAAATTGGGACCATGACCTGCAAGGAACTAGCATAATCCACCATATTCACCGCGGGGATCCTTTTGTTACCTTCCCAACCTTGCAAGTATTTTACATCGACACCGACCAGGGCATTAAACTCAGTGACTCTGTTTACCTGTGCAGGCATAGCCTCTTTTGGCTGTCTCTGGGCTTGGCATTGATCGCATGAGAACGAACGTGCAGCCGTCAGTGCGGCTTCGGACGCTCCACCATGTTTGAGGACTCTGACGAGCTGCTGGTTTGTTGGATGACCTAAACTATTGTGTAAACGACGAAGGCTCTGTCGAACGCCTTCTCCAGACTCAGCATTCAGTTCCTCAAGCGAATGAGCTACCAAGCATTCCTTGCTCTGGTCATCCACCACCACGAGTGTCTCAGTAGTTGGCAATTCTGTCACATGTCGAAGGACTGCTTTAACAAAGGCAGGGGTATATTTGCCAGCGTGTTTGCTGATAGATCCTATCTGAGGCCATTGGCCAGCAATGCTCTGGTGCTGTCTATGTTCCGGATGATGGTGACCAGGGCACTTCCTACCTAGCTTCAGCATATCGGCATGCGAAATCAGCAAAGTCGTAGCTTTGCGGATGAGATTGCCACCTGGCACCCGTAGGCCATAACAACACACGTCGGTGGACACTGGGACATTGCTTACGAAGCTCCACCATTGATG